CCCCCCGCCAAAAAAAAAACAAAACACCCCACACCCCAACCAAAAAAAAAGAGTCCCCAAGACTTAATCTCCCAATACACTGTCAGCACCCTCACAGGTATTTCTTTGTATCTGCCCACTTCGGTTATGGAGCATCCCCGCCAATGTAACACGATGGATGAAGCGTCTGCAGGGCAGTGTGAGAGAAGCCCCGGTGACTTCTGCAGGTGCTTTAAGGACAACCTTTTTTATGGCAGAAAAGAGTTTGAGTTTCTTTAACTTTTTTACTCTCTGTACCAAGAGTCTGAAGACTGGACTGAGCATATTCGTAAGTAGAGACCAAGAATTTCACTGAATTTTTAGAGTTGGAAGGGACCATAGAGATCATCTAGTCCAACTCCCCTGCTGAAGCAGGATTGCCTAGAGCTAGAGCATGTTACTCAGGACTGCATCCAGGTGGGAAGTGCCTCCTCTTCCTACAGATCGTTGCATTGCAATTGCTTTATAAATTCTAGGCTACTTAAATCACTAGTTATAGCCTAAGTGACTTTTCATGGTCTTCAGCAATCCTTCTGGACCTCACATATCACACAAATTGCATGTTGAGTAAGCTTTATAAAAGCCCATAAAGAAGCTATGCATGTAAAGCTGCTTTTTCCTTCCCACTGCTTCTGATTATTAGATTCTTGAAAGAATGGTGCTTTTTATCTTGTATTTTATTGTCTTTTTGGCTGTTGTGTTACAGGTGGCCAAACTCTGGTAACACCTGATAGTGATAAAAAAATGAGGCTGATATGTAACTGTTTAAGTGCATTCCTTATGTTCCCTATTAAATTGTGTATCAGTGCCAAGCAGCGTGTTAAATATGCAACTATTTTCAGTTTGGAATATGGAAAAATTCCACGGGCAAACAATTTTGCTCAGTCTTCAACTAAATGTAGTCAAGTGTGATGCTATCAATGATGGGTTTATGCATGTTGGAGCCCTTAACTGTTGCTTGATTTGTCACGTAATGCATATGTGCAAATGTTATGTTGCCTTTCTCAAAATCAAACACCTGATCTGTTTCTGCTTGAGGCAGTTCTTTGTTTCATCTGGTAGGTTGCTACATATTTCTGATAATCACACATTTTTTGTAATGTTTTGCTTTGCAGGTGTTTTGAGGATCCTGACTGAAATGTTTTTGCCCCATATCAGCCTCGCAGATTTGGAACAAATGTTTTTCTCAAAAGTATTACCTAAGGTATGACAGCTTCAATTAAAAGTGGAATTTTCAGTCAGTCCATTGCTAAAACCTGCTCAGAAGGCGGTTACTTTTTCTTGAGATGACACAATATAATTATTGTTTTGGATATAAAAAATTTCGTATTTAAGATGAAATTAAAGTTTAACCTTTTAAAAGAAGTTTCAGCAATTTTGTGTGGCATTGTTTATGTGATTGTTACCGCTCTTTACAGTGGAGATTGAACATATGATGTTCTACATTCTGTATTCAGCAATAGAATTGTTCTTTATTTATTTTTGAGAAGATTTGGCTGCTTATAAAATCACCAAGGTCAATTTTTACATGAGGTGGCCTCTCAGGACAAATAAACTGAAGAGTCTGACACTCATATATCATGAATAAATGTTGTGAAACTTGTGAATGATACAGTGAATAAACTTTTAGACAATAGCGGCCTAGTGTGTTCTCTCTTTTGATAAGGCAATGGAGAATTTTGTGCCATAGTTGTATTAAAATTCTTCAGTGCTTACATGGAGTCTGACACTCATATATCTTGAATAAATGTGAAATTTGTGAATAATACAGTAAATAAACTTTTAGACAATAGCAGCCTAATGTGTTCTCTCTTTTGATAAGGCGATGGAGAATTTTGTGCCGTAGTTGTATTAAAATTCTTCAGTGCTTACATTTTAACTGAAGTAAAGCAGTGCCAAATTACTGATTTAAGTTTCAGGCCTCAGCTTGTACATTTTTAAGAAGACAGTAAAAATGGCCACTTGATTTCCATTTCTCTTATTTTATGTCCTGTAGCAAATTTTGGACATTATAAGAAAAATGGCTCATAACAGGCATATCCTGACCAAGGGTTACTGTACCTCACCAGTTTATGTAGTATCTGGCACAGGCCTGGAAACACCTCACTGCCTTTGCAGTCTCAGCACTAACACGCATCAAATATCCAAGGACCTCAACCAAAGTAGAAATTACTGTTGTTTGTAGGTCATAGCTTTATTTTTTTATGTAGTCAAAATGCTAATGATCATTCTTAACAAAAAAAACCCCCAATTTTTTCTGAAACAAAACAGAAATCCTGTTTAAATGATGTGGTTTTAACTAAATAAAAAAATCTTTGGTAGAATGAGGTATATATTTCAAGTGAATTAGTTGGGAAATTTGTTTTACTAACAGATTTTAGAAAAAGTAACAGCTACTATAGCTTCTGTCTGTAATTTGGCAAAACCATAAGAATGTTTTTGCTTCTTGGTATATCATGCTTTATGATTCAAATGCTAGAAAAATGTTATTTTCTCCTGTGAGTTATCATCTCGGTAGCACATCACTCCATGCCAAGGAAGCAGGCAGATATAGAATAGTGTTACTATTTTCATCTGCACATTTATAAATAAAACGTTTAAGTTTTGTTTTGTTCTGACAGACTCTGCAGTTATTTGATAACTTGATGTATGAATTATCCACTGAGGCCAAAGGATTAACCAGCCAGAATACAGAATTATGCAGCACCGTAAGGAATCTGCTACAGGCAAGTCCCCTGAAATAAGCTGTCAGAGGAATGTTTACATTATTCTTTGATTTTAGCTAAACAGTTAAGATGTTTTTAGAGTATTTTTGCCAGCTACTAACCAGGTGGTTAAAATGTAATTTGATCTTTCTTTGCAGTTGAAGTTCAATTATCATTATGTAAATGATTTGATTACATCTAGCATGTGATGTTAATCATAATTAAAAAAAAAAAATAAATCTCAAATTCTGCTTAAGTTCCTAATGCAAATGGAATGGGATTCTCCATATTTAAAGAGTGAATCTGGCATCTATTTATACATTCGCTTAATTCTGAGTTATAACATTTTTGTAAATTGAGAACAGTAGTCAAAAGGAATATGAAACTTTCAAAGAGTACATGGTATTGGAGAACTGGAATTGCTTGATACTATTTTATGGAGCTTCCTTCATCTTTAACAAACTACTTATTTGTGCAAATAGAAATGAACTTTGAATGGCATGAAAATCTAGGTGCAATTCAGCTAAGAAAAGATGCTCTTGAAATAATTGCAGGAGAGAAAAAACATTGATTGTTGTTGTTTATTCTTCCTTTAAGACTATGGTGCAACTGTTGGAAACTCTGACTGGCTGTGTAAGATACATCTGCACTCTGCAAGAGTGTGTGCCTCTGGAGAGCATCCGCACCCTTCCGTCCTCTGTTCTTTATGTCATAAAGAACACGTTTATACATTGCAAGGTAGGTCTGTGTCTTAGAAGGAGAAAAAGTCTTGTACTGGTTGGCTTTTATGAAACGCTCACTTTGTAAGAAGATCCTATTTTGAAATAATATTGTCAATTTTTTTTATTTTTTATATTTTACTTTCAATTTAGTTGTTAATAGTATTCAGTATGTAATTGGTGTACAAGTACAAAGATGATTTTTTCAGCTGTCTGCCCAGCAAATGTGATCTGGTAGTGAGAGGCACAGACTGGGCTATTTCTGTATTTTGCATCAGTGTCAGCTGTGCATTTTGCTTATGACCGTAGGTACTCTGTGACATATGTGCACTTCTGAGAGCTGCAGTATTTTCAGAGCAACAAATGGTTAACAAAATGGTGCTACTTACCTTGTTTGTGTTTAAGTTCCAAAGTGGCTTCAAAGTTGCAATTAGGACCTCTGTGTTGGTTCCCATGGGTAATATATATCAGTTTCAGATCTGGATTTTCAGCAACAGCAATTCCCTCTAGAGCAGTGAAAATAAAACAAGGTTATGGTAAAGCATAATAGCTTTTGGTTGGCCTTCATTTTCACATTTCAATTTGTCTTTCTTATGGGAACATT